ATCTTTCAGCTTGACAAGAAAATCATCAGAAAAAAAGCCTTTTTCAACATCACAATGAAAAAGTGTATGACAGAAAAAAAATCTTACGCACACAATATTTTGATAACTATTGACATGAAGAGCTTGATATACTGTAACAGGAACAGCAAGATAGAAAGTCTTTAGTGAGCCGTATGAAGATTTGTAGTGTTCTTATGAACCTCACCCAAGTTTAAGGCTACATGATCTGGTAATTGAGAATCATTCTCCACAATCTATGGCTTCTTAAGATATTGTATCTTGTAAGTATTGAACATATCCTTTGTGATGTTTTCTAGTCCATCTAGAAGGTTGTACTTTAGGACATATGACCTTAGTTCGTCACGAATTCGATGCAGAGGCTATTTCAAGAAATGAGAAAATCAAATTAAAAAAGGTGATAAAAAACACTTCGCTTTAGATGCATGTTTGATGTTGTTTTTTATCAGACTACATCCATGATGACTAAAAAGTAATCCAAATATGTTATCAATCATGACATTCCAGCCCAACTAATTATGAATGTTCTGAAAGAATAAAATCAACACAACCATACCTCAACTCCTGACTCAAGGGAGAGCATGAAAAACCTATCGAAACTGAGTGCTTTGAAGCTGACTCAGAAAGTTTAATCTGTGATAACCAATAGGAAGCTGAAGATAGCACATTGAACCTTTTCCTGTAGCTATATTTCGATGCATCAGCGATAGGTGTGTTAAAATTCAACTGATTGTTTAATCTGTTTCTTTGATTTTCAGATATTGGCGTGAGGATTCCAACAGATATGGAATGAGGGATGCTATTAGTAGACTTTATAAGGTTTGAGATCCTCTTTGGAGGCTTCACATACTTTTCTTTCCCAGAAAGAAAGACTTCGCTCATGCTCTTGGCCAAATTTGGTGCAGTCCTCAACCTAGTTTAATCACAAGAGTAATCATTTTAGCCAATAAAACTGAAAAATTTTCTTGAGTGCAAGTTTCCAATAGCATACGGGATCATAAGCAGTTTTTTTATAATTTACAGAGCACATAAAAAATAACCTATATCAATAAACATTGAGCACCAATTTATTTCATGCTTATTCTTCCTCAAGTCCGAATATTGGCGCCTATATGTCCTTTTGCCTTGGCAAATATAAAATTAAATAATTTATTTACTTATTACAATGGTTTTGAAAATCGGATCGGATAACGAACAGGAAGAAGGAGAGGTTCACGGTTTGAACCTGATGATGTAATAAATAATAATATTATTAAAAATTATAAAATAAATGAAAATTTTTCATCTAATACATTCACTATACAATATACATTTCATTTTCATATCAAAATAAACAAATAATATATCAAAATTTTCCTCTTCAAAATACATCAGCAGTGAATTGCTGTAGCTTCAATGTCTGATTCCTACTTAAGAAATCTGCATCCAGCAATAAAACAGATTCTTTACCATGAACTAGCTTTTCTAACCTGATATTTCTAAACACCATAGGCATATAACCAAGGATGAAGTTAATTAATCCAAATGACAGAAGATGAAGGGTTTTAGAGCTAGCAACTACGCTTTTAATGCCGAAACAGAGCATCAGTGCTGGTTTCCTTCGAGTTGTTTTATTCATCTCTATAAAATAGTAGACAAATCCGACTATAGACCACATGACAGCAATTGCAAAAAATACCACTCATTTCTCCATAAATCAACTTAGGTGAGAAAACAATAAAACAAATCAGGGGAAGAAAAACCACCATATTGTGCTCTCTCGCATGTTCCAAAAAATATATTAAATGCATCTCATTCTCTAAACTGATAGAAATAACTAAACTAATAGCAAATCAAAGGAAAGATATATCCAAAAATATCACAACAAATATGAGGTAGATGTAGAAGAATAAAGGAAGAAAATAACAAATGCAAAAAATGAAAAAAAAAGAGCTGAAATATTAGAAACAAAAAAACAAAAATGTTCAAAATAGAAAATAGAGAGAGGAGGATATCTAGAACACTAACAAGATGACCTATTATTGAAGCCGAAATCTCCTATGCTTCTTTGTCTTCTGCAGTTGCCACAGACAAATCGGAGCACCAACAGAGGAGCTGCAGAGACGAAGGAGGAGGAGCGAAGGAGAGGAGCGGCTTCGGGAGTTACGGCATTACGGGAGTAGGAGAAAAAGAAGCTAGGTTTTACAGTTTTACTTCACATACTTATTTAGTTATTTCTCAAAAACCGCATGATTGAAATCCAACGGCTGAAGATGCGTCTAATTTTAACAAGGCGGTTTGAGTCCGATTTCCGGTTCGCCGGTTTCACGGTCCGACCGGTTCAAATCCGGTTCCTACTTTGTCTGTTTTGGTGTTAAAACGAACAGGCCGGCCGGCCGGGTACCGATTCAACCGGTTAAACCAGCCGGTCCGGTCCGATTTTTAAAATGTTACTAAGATGATGAAAACTAATGAAGGTTCAATGCATATGAGACAAATTAATAAAAAAATTGCACCCATATTGATTATGATAGGTATAAAAATATCAGGGGGTTAATGCAAACAACATATAAGTTCAAGTTAAAAAACAAATTAAGCTGAGTGTAATAATTAAAATAAAAAGTTACAAGTGCAGGAATTCTGCTATCATTATGACAAAAATAAAGGGTAGCTATACATCTGATCTATAAATTTATTAATGCTCAAAAAAAGCCATCAAGATATTCGTTTCAATCTTGGTCCTTTTGTTAAATGTCATATTTGCATCCGAATGTTATTAAATTATTTCTGGGGTAAATCCATACGGATAGCCACCAAAATTTAGCGATAATATATTACTGCTGATGTATTTTGAAGAGGAAAATTTTGATATATTATTTGTTTATTTTGATATGAAAATGAAATGTATATTGTATAGTGAAAGTATTAGATGAAAATTTTTCATTCATTTTATAATTTTTAATAATATTACTATTTATTACGTCATCCGGTTCAAACCGTGAACCTCTCCTTCTTCCTGTTCGTTGTTCGGTCCGATTTTCAAAACCTTGGTAATAAGTATATAAATTATTTAATTTTATATTTGCCAAGGAAAATGGACATATAGGCGCCAATATTCGAACTTGAGGAAGAATAAGCATGAAATAAAATGGTGCTCCTCTGAGCGAAGTCTATCTTTCTAGGAAAGAAAAGTATGCAAAGCCTCCAAAGAGGATCTCAAACCTTATAAAGTCTACTAATAGTAGCCCTCATTCCATATATGTTGGAATCCTCACATCAATATCTGAAAATCAATGAAACAGATTAAAAAATCAGTTGAATTTTGACACACCTATGTCTGATGCATCGAAATATAGGTACAGGAAAAGGTTTAATGTGTTATCTTCAGCTTCCTATTGGTTATCACAGATTAAACTTTCTGAGTCGGCTTCGATGCACTCAGTTTTGATAGGTTTTTTCATGCTTTCCCTTGAGTCAGGAGTTGAGGTATGGTTGTGTTGATTTTATTCTTTCATAACATTCATAATTAGTTGGGCTGGAATAACATGATTGATAATATATTTGGATTACTTTTTAGTCATCATGGATGTAGTCTGATAAAAAACAACATCAAACATGCTTCTAAAGCGAAGTCTTTTTTATCACCTTTTTTAATTTGATTTTCTCATTTCTTGAAATAGCCTCTGCATCGAATTCGTGAAGAACTAAGGTCATATGTCCTAAAGTACAAGCTTCTAGATGGACTAGAAAACATCACAAAGGATATGTTCAATACTTACAAGATACAAGATCTTAAGAAGCCACAGAAATTGGAGAATGATTCTCAATTACCAGATCATGTAGCCTTAAACTTGGGTGAGGTTCATAAGAACACTACAAATCTTCATACGGCTCACTGAATACTTTCTATCTTGCTATTCCTGTTACAGTATATCAAGCTCATCATGTCAATAGTTATCAAAATATTGTGTGCGTAAGATTTTTTTTTCTGTCACACACTTTTCCATTGTGATGTTGAAAAAGACTTTTTTTCTGATGATTTTCTTGTCAAGCTGAAAGATTTTTGCTATGTTGAAGAATTATTGATATCATCAATGGGTGTGCTATTGTCTTCAAATTAGTTGGCTTATCAAAGGTTGTTGCGTTTTATGCAACACAGTCTTGTTGTCTTTAAATTAGTTGGCTTCTCAAAGGTTGTTGCATTTTTAAGTAGATTCTTTTTTATTTAAATTAGTTAGAAAAATTGATGAATTTTAAATTAGAATTAATAAAAATTTATTCAAAATTGTGAAAGGATTTACATCCCAATGATTAGAGAAAATTATTTCCTTAAGATAATAAATTTAAGCCATGCTTTCCATTGTTCATTATTTTTGTGAAAAATAAAATTAACATATATAATCATAAAAAATATAAATACATTGAAAAAGCAAAAATAATTTGTATTTGAATTTTATGATTAGTGCATATTGTATTTTTTTCATTCATTATTTATTGAAAAAGTTTGTATATATTTTTATGGTTTGGCTGCTTGAAAGATTATCATCTCGTTTAACTATCATATGATTCAATGTTTTCTTATAGGATAGTTAACATTGTTCCAGAACTAATCTCTCATATTATACACTTATTAATGCAACAAATGTAGTAGTAGCTTCAGTCAATGAAGCTTTAGTCATTTTGTTCTACAAGATTTAGCTAAAACTTGAAGATATAATTGTCTACTACTAAGTGGTATAGTCTTGCTCTGTCTCAAAAGATAACATCTAGAGTGGAAATGGAACAACAGTTTAACTTTATAAAGTGGGCATGCAAGCAATTTGTAAATATTAAATTGATTAGTAATTAAGATTTTTTCTCTTTTGGTTATATTGTATATTGAAATCATAATTGGTAACTTGATCTTACCTCTTATGATTATCTTTGGATCCCATAGAGTATATAAGATGTATCCTTGGATCTAGCTTTATAGAAGTTGTATGATCAGATGTAACCAATATACTAAAATTTTTTACTCATAATACACAATTGACAAGCTTATGTGCTCATCAAGTAATTTCACCATGCAAAAGTTCTCCATGAAAGAAATGAAGTAACTTTGAATGTAGAGGTTAAATTTTAATAAGAAATGCCACAAATATTGTTCTAAAAAATTCCTAGTTTAAACCTTCCAAAATTTTGTTGTTGCTGTCCCATTGTATCCTTTAATCAATACTGCACCTTGTCATCACAGTCTTATCTAAACCCACCTTCCACCCTTGCATATTTCAAGCTGCATAGATTTCGCCTCATAAATGCTTTCTTTGTATAAGATGACAATAGAAATTATTTTTTTTGTTTTGTTGTTACAGTAGGTTTTGTATCACTGTTGTGATCTAATTGATGGATGGATGGATGGTTCTCCTATAATGTTTAGGATAGTAAAGCTATGTTTGGTGATGTTTAAATTTTAGTGCAATAAAGGTTATGAAGGAGATAGTGGTTGACTAACCCGATTTCAATAACAACCAAGATTTGGAGCTTAGATTCTAACCTAAGCAGTCTAGTATCATAAAAGATGAGGCATTTCCTAAACCACTTTCCAAGAGCACCAGGAAGTATCCAAGACCATTCCAAATCCTTAATCAAGATTAAACCTACGTTAAACCTAACTTTTGCACATTTATAATCATCCTTGAAAGTGATTTGATCCATCATTTTCTCATCTCCTCTGTCTCCCAGGAACCTTGTGATCTTAATTCTATGATTTTTGCTAATGGTTTAAATGACCTTTCTTTTATTGGTTGTAAATTTACCTGGTTCAATCAAAGAGTGGACTCTCCTATACATATCAAGCTTGACAGAGCTTTGGTTAACGATGCTTGGTGCTCTGCATTCCCTAACTCTTATTGCTCTTTTCAGAGTCCTACTTGCTCTGATCGTAGCCCTATTATTCTTCACTATGGTTTGGTTATGCAGGTTAACCATAGATTTCTTTTCAAAAAATTTTGGACTAAATTGAACTACTACTGGAGCTTCGTTCTTGAAGTTTTTTCTATACCTCATGCTGGGAATCCTCTTTCCTCCTTCTGTGACAATCTCAAAATGTTAAAAGGGAGAATTAGAAGACTGTCTTGGGCTAATTCTACCACTTTTTATTTTATTTGAACTTTATTTAATTTTTTTATTAAATTCTTTTATTTATTAATTTTTAAATTGTTTAACTAATTTATTTTTATTCACTTATTTAATCCTTTATGTTTATGAATTTTATTTTATTTTTGTTTATACTTATTCATTTATTATTTACATTGGTTTTATTCTTGTACTTTACTATTAGTTAATGGCTTTGACCAACATTTAATTTTTAAATTTGTTTAAGATTTCGTAGGTTTACTATGTTAATAAATTC